CGCGCTGAATCGTTCAACCTTGAACGATCGGCCGTCTCCGCAACGTCCGATCGTTCAACATCGACCGATTCTGGGCCGCCGTCGGCGTTCAACCTTGAACGCCCGCGCTGGGGTCGCCGCTGGTCGACACGACGCAAACCTACCGTACTCGCCCCTTATCGTCGCCTCCGATTGTCCGCTCCACGGGCGGGGACGCTCGCGAGCAGTGGACGCAGACGCGGAAAAAAAGCGACGACAAGCGGCGGCAGCTGCGGCGGACGACGCGGCGGCGGAGGGAGGTCGGCGGCGCGCACGGGGGGCCCGGGGGGGGGCGCCGCTGGGGGGGCCGGCCCTCCACGGCGGACGTCCGGGAGGGCGCCGGGGAGGAGGAGGGGGGGAGGAGGGAGGAGGAGGAGGAGGAGGAGGAGGAGGAGGAGGAGGAGGAGGAGGAGGAGGAGGAGGGAGGAGGAGGTGGAGGAGGAGGAGGAGGAGGAGGAGGAGGAGGAGGAGGAGGAGGAGGAGGAGGAGGAGGAGGAGGAGGAGGGAGGAGAGGAGGAGAGGAGGAGAGGACGAGGAGGCGGGGGGGGGGGGGGGGGGGGGGGGGGGGCTCTGCGAAGCCCGCTCCCCGCCTCTCGAGGTGCAGGGCTATCCCCCCCCTCGCACACACACACACACACACGCGGGACGGGCGGAGCCCCTGCACTGGACGAGGACGTGCGGAGGCGCGGCGGTCCAGGGGAGGGCCGGGCGCTGGAGAGACACGCGGCCACGCGTGCCACAGAAGTAACCCTTCGGGGGATGACGGAGTTGGACTCGCACGTCGATCTGCATGTCGGTTGCAGCTGGATCTGCACTTGGATCTGTCGTATGACTTGCGTGTCGATTCAATGCGGATGTGTATTCAATGTGCGTGTCAGTGGTATGTAGATTAGATTTCGATCTGCAGTCTGGGCTACATGTTCGATTAGCATGTCGAATTGCAATTGGATGTCCACCCTGACGTTCATACCGATCTGCTTTCCGATGCACATGCCGATTGTTTTGTAACTTGAATGTCGATGTACTTTTTCAACTACAGCTCAATGTTCAGTTGTGTCTACACTTCGACGGCATTCCAAATTTGCATTCCGAACTGCACTTCGCTGTGCAATTCGATCTACGTGTCGTTGGCAATGGTATATGCGTCACGATGCGCCTGTCCCCTGGGAGAACTATATGACAGCCACAGGACAGCACATGGAACAATCCGGGGGACGATCAACGGGAAGGAGAACCCAAGGGACAACCCACAGGACGGGACAACCGCGGGACAACCCTCAGGACGCCACACGGAACAACCAAGGGACAACCACGGGACAACCCGCAAGACAACCCGACGGACAACCACGGGACAGCCCACGGGACAACCCCCGGGACAACCCCGCGCGCCCCCGCGAGACGGGAGGCCTTTCTCCCCCCGACGTGGCCCTAATCAGCCCTGGCTGGCACGTCATCGCAGGTCGCGGCGATCTTCGATCTCACCCGCCAGCATCCGATCCAGCTCTCGGCCACGTCGGGCAAGACCACCACCAGCGCGAGTAGCCAGGGAGGGCCCTCCTGGGGGTGTGGTCCCCCCGTCTTGCGGCTCCCCTCTCGAGACATCCAGGTTCTCCAGCTCGGGGAGGCATCGTGGACCTCCTCGCTGGAAGTGGCCTGGCGGCGATGGTGGTGGAGTCGCTGCCACTCCCTCCGAGATCCAGCTGCCTGGTATAGCCGTGGCTGCGACTGAGCACGGATCATCCCAAGAGACATAGGCCAGCTTTTGTTGCCACATCTGGAGAGAACACCGAACTTGCCTCGTGAGCGGAACCTCGTGCACGCGCGTGAAGACGTTTCCAAGCGGGCCAGCTTCATGCGGTTGTCGAAGCAGCGCCAGGCCAGAAACGTGAAGGGAAGATCTCTTCATGACTGGCGCAGCTGCACAACACCCCCCAGAGCAACCTCAAGACGGTGCAGGGCCAGGATTTGGGCGGCGCGCAGGAGGGAAAAGGGCGATTGGCGCGGCACTCTTGAAGGCAGGGTGTCTCTCATGAGGGACTGGATGCTCGGAAGCTCCTCAGAAGGCTTCTTAGACGGCAAAAAGGGGGTTCTGAGGAGCCCCCTGCATTCTCAGAAGGCTGGGCCCTCGGGCCACCACCGCTTCGAAAGCGCCGACCGCGTCCAGAGGCCGACCGCGTCCAGAGGCCCACACGGAGAAAGGAGCCCACCGAATCAGCTCCTCGGGCTCCCCTCCGGGGCGGGGGGGCCGAGAGCGGAGCGGCACACCTCTCGGCTCGGACGAGCGGGGCGAGGCAACAAAGAGAGGGACTGGAGGACCCAGTTCGCGCAGCTGCGTATCCCGGCGCCTCCCGCCTCCCGGCGCCGGAAGAACACGCACATCGAGGAAAGGGCGTGGAGGCGGGGCCGAAAACAGCTGCATGCAGCAGATGTCGTCCTCCCCCCCCTCTCCCTTTCTCCCCCCCCCCGTCGCCCGCCTGGCAAGTGCGCAGGGCAAGGGATAGTCATAGTCGAGGGTTTCGCCCCCCCCCCCCCCCCCCCACCACGCAGCACACAATGGGGTCACGCATTGGATCCTGCCTGGGTCCGGGGGCGCCTGCATCGCAGCCCTTTTCGCGCGCCGGGGCATCGCAGCAGGAGGCCCCCTGAGACACGCGCCTCGGCGACCACAGAAGGTGCACTGGATCCTGCGCCGCAGCCCTCCAGCCGCGGGGCCTCGATGCAGGAACCGCCCGAAAAGCAGGCTTCGGCGCGGGGGGCGCCCCAGGGTGCGACCGCCGTCCCTCCCGCTGGGGCTGCAGGTTTTTCGCCCCTTTGCCTCGGTGTGGAAAGCGTCTGCCGCCTTCCAGGCCAGCGCCTGCAAGCTGATCGCCCGTGCCCAAGGCAGGCGCTCCAGGGACCCTCTACTTGCGCAGCTGCAAAAGCCCACCGGGGCGCACGCCTCCCAAGCAGCGCCCACTGAGAACAGGACTGCGCGGGTCTCTCGTCTGGCTGTGGCCAAGCTGTGGAACTGGGCGTGACGCCGAGCATCCTTCGATCGCGAAACATCCCCATCACGTCAACCATGATCTTCTTCAGCCGGGTATCCGACGATCCCACTTGCCTGGGGAGGGAAAGCGCGTGGGATGAAGTTTCTGGGTATCCCCCGTGGCGCGAGTGCAACGTGGGACGGGGGTGGCAATAACGAGAAGACCGGGGTGGAACTGACAGGCGGCGCCCATGCGATAAATGTGCAAGCCTGGAGGTGGCCACAAACGCAAACGTCCCCGCATGTGTGCAGCAATGACACACCAGAGGCACGCGCGCATAACAATTATAGGCATGCTTTCACACAGGCAGGCCGCACACAGGCTTGACCTATCATGGACGCCACCATCATACGTCTGCGCGCACCACAAAAAACAACCTTCAACTTGCGCGTTGCAAGTCGAACTGTGGAACTGCCTGACCGGTGGACACTGCAAGGCCCGCGTGCCCTCGTGCAGTTCAAACGCGTGTTTATTTTGTTTGCAACGAAAAGAAGAAACACAAACACACACACACACACACAAAAAAAAAAAAAAACAAAAACGCGCGCGCGTGCGCGTGCACACCAAAATCACACGCCTATGCATCTGCGCCTCTGAACATCACACATGCACGGCGGCTGTAAAACCCGTCGCCTGGGTGCGCCACAGCATCTGCGCGCACCACAACGACCCCGTGAAATGTCGGCTTGTGATTAACAAATCCGTGGGGGGCGCGCGATCCAAAAATGTCCCTGCTCGGGCGAATCGCGGGGGTGGCGCCCGCCAAGTTGGAACACACGGCGGCGGCGCCAGTGATTAGCACCGACGCACGGCCGCCAACGAGAAGGCGACAGAAACGGCACAGACTGGGCGAAGGGGGGGGCGGGAGGAGGGGCCGCAGAAGCAGGGACCGTCGGCGCCGCCACCGCCGGGTTATTTCCCTGTTTCGCAATCGAGCGGAACCCCCGTCGCTGCGATGGAATCGGTCCTCCTCGTCCTGCTCCTCGTCCTTTTCCTCATTTTCTTCCTCCTCCTCCTCCTCCTCCTCCTCCTCCGATTCCTCCTCCTCATTTTCCCCCTCCTCATCCTCTTCCTCGTCCTCGTCCTCGTCCTCGTCCTCGTCCTCTTCCTCCTCCTCATCCTCCTTTTCCTCCTCCTCCTCCTCCTCCTCCTCTTCCTTGTCCTCCTCCTCCTCCTCCTCATCCTCCTCCTTCTCCTCCTCTTCCTCCTCATCCTTCTCATCCTCCTCATCCTTCATCCTGCTCATCCTCCTATTCGTCCTTCTCTTCCTCCTCCTCCTCCTCCTCCTCCTCCTCCTCCTCCTCCTCCTCCTCCTCCTCCTCCTCCTCCTCCCCCTCCTCCTCCTCCTCCTCCTCATCCTCCTCTCCTCCCTCTCCTCCTCCTCCTCCTCCTCCTCCTCCTCCCTCCCTCCTCCTCCTCCTCCTCCTTCCTCCTCTCCTCCTCCTCCTCCTCCTCCTCCTCCTCCTCCTCCTCCTCCTCCTCCTCCTGCTCATCCTCCCCATCCTCCTCCTCGTTCATGCCGTTTGCCATCATCCGCAGCGCGGTGGTTCCCCGAGATCTCCGAGCCCTGGCGCGCGTGCTTCTTTGGTATAAGTGTCGCGCCCCGCGGGGTCTATCCATCAGCCCCGCAGGGAAGGGAAGGGGGCCATAATTTGTTAATCGCCAGGGGCATTACTCCACAGGCCTTCGTACGCAGGCACGGCCACACAAGTCTATGTAGTCACACCACGTGCCTCGACATCCACGCACACTTTCAGGCACCCCGCAGGCGCGCACCTTCTCTGGCTTCCACCAGCCTGCCGCCGCCGAGGGCGAGAGATCACCCTCCCGATCCCTCGCAGACGAGGCCCACCCTGGAGCGCCCTCCACAGCTCCGCGGACGGCGGGCGGAGCGGCGCAATTCGGCCTCCAGCTTGATGCTGGCGTTCGTGCCGCACTGCGCCGCGTGGGTGCTGCCTACGCCACCCGCACCACCCTCCGCAGCGGCGTGTCCGCGGAACTGGGCCCCACCAGCACCTCGAAGCCTGGCGCCGGCAGCGCAGAGGGCTCCAGCTGCAGAGTCACCGTCGCGGCCTCGCCCGGGGCGAGGGCCCGCTTGGCGAAGGCACGGAGCTGCTTCACACCCGCCAAAGGCGCCCCACCCGTGGCCGCCACGTACGCCTGGACGACCTCCTTCGTGGGCCTGGTGCCGGTGTTCGCCACCGTGACCCGCAGCTCCACGCCGCGCCCTGCCGGCAGCTCCGCCCCGCACGAGAGCTCCAGAGCCCGGTAGGCGATGCTCGAATAGCCGAGGCCGTGGCCGAAGGCAAACAGCGGCGGGATGGCGCGGTGCTGATACCAGCGGTAGCCGAGGAGGAGTCCCTCCTCGTAGAATACTCGGCCCTGCTCCTGCTGAGAGGCAACGGTAGGGAGTCCTGGCAAACGGGGGAACCATTGACCTGGAATCGGCGATAGGCCCCCGATGGCGAAACCGCATGATCCTGGGCGGCGCGGGATATCGGGCCCCTATCGGCGATCAATGGGCGATTTGGGGTCGATGTGTTCCCCCTGAGCCTATCATATGTTCTGCTTAGCGTGTAGCCGCGGCGGCCCCAGCGACACGCTAAGCCGATATGTCCACTCCGCTTGGCGGGACGCCGGAAAAGCTCGGATCGATGACGCCTGGGAGTCGGGACGTGGTCAACGTGCCGCGCCGAAGCGCGGTGGGCCAGAGCTGGCGGCGCGACACGCGAAGCGGAAGTCGCTGATCCTGTCCAACCCTAGTGCCTACGGTGAGGGCATTGGGCAGGGAACCACTGGATAAGGAATCCAGGGTCTGGAAGCCGGTGGAACGCCAACTGAAGTCCGGCCACAGATACAATCGCCGCCCCCGTCAGATGTAAACAATCTGCGGCGGTCCTAACTCGACGGTCAGCCTGGGGGGGAAACGAGAGTGGGCGCGCCTTCTCGGAAGGCTCGAAATGCCCCTGGCCCTGTAAAAGAAGCCTCCCAAATGGGAACCGAGCAGATGCGGTCGGAAGATCGCGCCGCCTCGCCGATGCATCGCCGACGCATAGCCGATGCATAGCCGATAGCGATGCGGCACGATCCTCCGACCCCATCTACTCCGACCCCACGACAGAGAAACTCCTCAGGAGCCTGGGTAAGAAGTCCCGCCGTTTTGTGAGAAGGCCTGCCCCCCCCTCTCACTCTCCCCCCCGGGCACAGATTCCTAACCCAACGCCCGCCCACCCTAGCGCTCTGGACGCCCGAACTTCGGCGGCGAGCGAGGGGGGAAGTGAGAAGGAGAAGCCCTTCTCAGAAGGCGGCGGAACTTCTCAGAAGCCTTGATTCCTTGGCTCGGTGCTGGGCCCCCCACCTCTGGCGCGCGTGGCGCGCCAGCGGCGGCGCTGGAGGCGCCGCCATGGGGGCCCAGCGCAGACCCAGGCAATCCGCGCAGACCTCCAAAAGTTTTGTCTATTTTTGTCGTTCGTCCAGAGGGGTCCCATGGCCCGCGCCGCCCACGAAGGTGAAGTTTCGCTTTCGGGGGTCAATCGCCGATCTATCGGCGACGTATCGCCGATTCGAGATCGATGTCTCCCCCCTCCGAGCCCCCTCCTCCCTCGGGGGCAGGCGAGGGGGCAAAGTGAGAAGGAGAAGGCCTTCTCAGAAGGCGGCGGGACTTCTCAGAAGCCCTCGCGCCTTCTGAGAAGTTTTCTATGTTTTCGGGGAAGGCTTAGAAAACCTCTCGGATGGACAATGGATTTCCGAGCCTTCCTTCTGAGAAGGCCCGCCCCTTCTCACTTCCCCCCCTGGGCTCGCCGCCGAGAAATTGGTACGGAAGAATTGGGCACGATGCCCAGCAACAAATGTTGTCCAAAACCGACCACGGCCGCTATTGGGCAGGCGGCTTCCGATGTCTACAATAAACAACGTCCGCACCAACACCGACAGCCCAATGCCTCAAGAGGACAACGTCCGCACCCAGACCAACAGCGAGTCCTGTACCAACTGAGCAGAAAGTGCCGCCAATCTCTGCGCCCATCCTTTCCGCACCCATCTCGATCGTCCTGCACCGCTGGCCCAGGGCGGGGGAAGAGCGTGAACGGAGCCTGAATAGGAGGACAAGGAATGTGCCAGGGGAGACGGGGGGACTTGGAGGAGCTGAAGAGGAGGAGAGGGAGGAGGAGGGGGAGAAGGAGGAAGAGGAGGAGGAGGAGGAGGAGGAGGAGGAGGAGGAGGCGGAGGAAAACGACGACGACGACGACGACGACGACGACGACGACGACGACGACGACGACGACGACGGTCCGTCCCATTTCGATCGCTCCTGCGCCGCGTCGGCGAACACGCCTGGGTACCTGTCGGGTCGGGCGAAGGGGGGACAGCAAAGGGGGGTTTGATAATCAGCTCACGCAGCTGCTTTTCCCCGGCGCCTCCCGGCGCCAGGAAGGCGGCTATGCATCGAGAAATGGGCCCCATCGGTGGGGCCGAAACCAGCTGCATGCAGCACACTTCGTAACCCCCCCTTTCCCAATCCCCCCCTGTCGCCCGGCCCGAGGGAGGAGGGAGGAGGGAGGAGGGAGGAGGGAGGAGGGAGGAGGGAGGAGGAGGAGGAGGAGGAGGAGGAGGAGGAGGAGGAGGAGGAGGAGGAGGAGGAGGGATGAGAAGAGGAGAAGGAGGAGGAGGAGGAGGAGGAGGAGGAACCTGGGGCCCTCGGCGCCGTCCGGGAAGGCGGCGGGCGTGTCCCCGAGGGCCCGGGGCCAGGTGAACGGCAGGCGGCCGCAGGGCCCCCAGCCGCCCTCCACCAGCGCCGAGGCCAACCCGGCGGCCGCCTCCTTGGCTTAGGTCGGGCCTGTCCCCATACACCCTGCGAAATGCTTAAGAAATCATGGGATAAGAAATTCATAGTCTCAGAACTTGAATAAAAACCCAACATTTCTATTAAAACCTTAGGAATTACATTGAAACATTAAGAATAATCGAGACTCTGGCCGAAGATGTAAGTTTTCTTAAGCATCGCCTAAGGTGTACAGGCGGATGTTGGGCGAAAAATTACGAATACCAGAAATATTCAAAAATGGCCACCAAAAAAACAGCCCCCAGACCATGTTTTGGAGTATGTCTGAACATTCCCCCTGGAGAGGGACAGGCCCGACTCAATCCTTGGGGCGACGAGCTCTACAGTCGGCCCGTACCATGAGGACGCGCGACAAGGATGCAAGGGCCTTGGGCGCCCAATTCTAAGCTTTTTGAGCTGGGCACCGCCAACGAAAGTGGCCAAGAATGAACCGAGGAGGCAAGGATGCAAGGGTGCCCTTTGGAAGGTTGCCCATCCTATTCGGGCTGACTGCATACATTGCAGATTCCGAAAGCCCTGAACTAGGAGAAAACACGCCATAAACATAAACTTTTGGCGCTCCAGGCGACTTTCTTGGATCCACGCTGGATCCCCCTCCCTGGCGCGCCGAGCGCGCCAAGGGCGGCGCCAGAGGCGACGCCAGGGGGGCACAACGTCGATCCAAGAAACCCGGCGCGGATCCAGTGCAAAACAACTATGTTGATGGCGCGTTCTACTTCGATGAATCCAAGAGTTGTGTCATCTCTCGGGGGCGCATCTTTTACTTCCGCCACCTTCCGCCAGCCTTCCGCCGGCTTCCGCCGGCGGAGGCGGCCTCCTTATACTTCCGCCGACCTTCCGCTGCCCTTCCGCCGCCTTCCGCCGCGGAAGAGATGACAACCTCTTCGATCCGCGGAGGCAAGGCCGTCCTTTCTGGAACGCCCCACATATCCACAAAGACGAAGCCGGGACGAGGCTAACATCGGGTGAGGATAAATCGAGAATCTCTGAGATCCAGCGGCTCTCAGAGCGTCCTGGAATGCCCTGGAAGGGACTTGCCCTCGTCCTAGCCCCGCTCGGTCCACTGCCCCTGGCCAGGCCCTTGCTGGGCCCACGAGCGTTGTATGCGACCTCCTGGCTTGGCCATGGAGGCACACACACACACACATACACACACACACACACACACACACACGGCCCAGGATGGGCCTGGCCCGGGACAGTGGATATCTACAGCCGGACCTGAGACACAAGAAGACCCTCCAAGAACATGAGACCCGCCGCCGGCCACAACACACTGTACATCCACGGGTGCCCTCCCCGGGATGCACGAGAACATCCAGCAAGCACGAGGAGCACCAGGATGCCCTCCCCGAAACGGCCTCGATCTTAGACCTCGGTGGTCCGACTGTATGTCGGCGGCGAGCAAGGGGGGGGAGTGAGGAGGAGAAGGCCTTCTCTAGACGAGCGCGCTCCACTACTCGCAAAGTAGCTACTCGCAAATGGTCTGGTTCCGCCGCGCGGGATCTACGATGAATTATATCGAAGCAGACACGTGTTTTTCGAAGGTTTGCGAGGACGCACTTTGCGAGTAGTGGCACGCGCTCGGTGATTCTCAGAAGGTTCGGAAGTCCCCCGGCCTTCTGCGAAGTTTCCTATGCCTCCCCCGCAGACGCCGAAGACTTCTCAGAAGGTCGGAGCGCTTCTGAGAGAAGCCCCGCGGCCTTCTGAGAAGGCCTTCTCCTCCTCCACTTCCCGCCGCCCCTTCGCTCGCCGCCGCCCGCGGGTCTCGCCGCCCCGCTCCTGGCCCCCGAACCAGGAGACGACCACCGCGGGCACCGCGCCGAGGACGGGGCCGACGTCCCGCGGCACGCAGCTGTTCAGCACCAGCACCGTGCGCGCGTTCGCCGCCGCGACGCGCCGGATCAGCTCCAGGACGGGCGCCTCTGGCAGGGAGCCCAGCAGTGAAGGGGCCCAGGGGCACAGAAATAGGTACCCGAAGGTCCGAGGATTCCCCACGTGTTGCCGCACGCTCTTGATTCTCGTCTCCAGCCCGGCCTCCACCAGTTACCGATACCTGTGTCTGCGTGGTTTGCCCCTTCTCGGCCGCCCTCGTCCTCTTCCCTCTCTTGCACGCCGCCCAAGTAGCCATGCGGTTGCCCCGAATTGCCATACGCTGGAGCGGGCGGCCTCTGCCGCGCCCCCGAAAACCTGATATTGCCACGAACCCCGACCTTGGAGGACAAGTGGGCGTGACTTGCGAGGAAGATAAAAATGAAGAGGACGCCTACGGGGCACATAATGCTGATTCACGTGTTGTCCGTGTGACGTTGTCCGTTTGATGCTGTGCCACTTTGTCGGGGGCGTCCTACGACCATCTTGGAGCCCTGTTGGGCAATGTTCGGGCCCTGCTATAAGAGCCACTGGGGGGAGGCCGTGGCCGTGACGTACTATAAAGAGAGCAGCAGAGAAAATGATGCCTATGAGGCTCATTGTGTTGGTTCCCGTGTTCCCCGTTTTCACGTTATGAAGCATGTGTGGCAATCCTGGAGCCCTCTTGGGCTCTTGGGCAAGGGGGCGTGACTCGAGAGCAAGCGAACAGCAAAGAAGAGCGTGCCTAGTGGGCACCTGACGTTGGTTCCCGCGTTGTCCGTTTGGCGGTGCTACGCTTTGTGGGTGCGTCTCCACCTATCCTTGGGCCTTCTTGGACAGTCTTGGGGCCCCCTTGGGGGCCAGTGGGGGCGGGCGGCCTCTGCCGCGCCCCCGGAAAAAAAGTTGTTTCCTCTCCTGAACACGATACGTAATTACTTGCCCAGCCACGTACATGGGCACAGCCCCCGAATCCGCGAGACCAGCCTCGTGATACGAGCGTTCCGGCAGTGCGTGCTTTCGAAACCATCGCGGATTCATGCGCGTGTACGTCCTCCTTCCGCTCCTGGTCGGGGGGGACAAGGGTACCGGCCGGCACCCATGATAGGCAATCTTGCACTTTCAACCGCTGCTGATCACTGGCTGTTGGCAGGACCCGCTGGAACTACGAGCCATCCAAAACGGCTGCGGCACAATGTCGGAGGAGGACGAGGTGGGCGCCGACTGGAAGGCGTCCGCAGGGTAATTGACGGACGCTCACAGGCTAAAGGTGGGGGATACTGGCGCCAGGGGCAGCAGCAAGCAACGCGGCAAAGACCACGGAAACACCGCAGTCGTCGCCGAGGCCAGGAATTCATCAGAATCATCCGAAATCCCGTCCGCCGCCCGCTCCACCTGAGCCTCCACCCTCCCGAGAGCGGCCTCCTCCATTCGGAGGGGCATCGACGGCAGGCAAGGCACTGGGTCGAGGGAGGAGGAGGAGGAGGAGGAGGAGGAGGAGGAGGAGGAGGAGGAAGAGAAGGACGAATAGGAGGATGAGCAGGATGAAGGATGAGGAGGATGAGAAGGATGAGGAGGAAGAGGAGGAGAAGGAGGAGGAGGAGGAGGAGGAGGAGGAGGAGTGCGGATTGCGACTCGCTGCCGCTGCCCCCCAGGGCCTCTCCGGGGGCGCGCTCTGCCCGGGACTTCGAGGCGAGCCCGGCCGTGGCGACGAGGCACGGGCAGCGGCACCGGTATATCTGAGCAGGGGCCGACCGTCCGGGCATTCCGATAGTCCTACACCTCCTCCTCCTCCTCCTCCCTCCTCCTCCTCCTCCTCCTCCTCCTCCTTCCCCTCCTCCTCCTCCTCTCTCCTGCTCGTCCTCCTCCTCCTCCTGCTCCTCCTCCTCCTCGTCCTCCTCCTCCTCCTCCTGATCCTTACCATGAGATGTTCTCAGAACCCAAACACGCTCTAAGAGCACCAACGATGTTCTTAGAGCAGAAGCCCGATGTGATGCAACAAGACAGACTCCACCAGAAATGTTCTGAGAACACCTCGCGGAAACCACAAAAAAGTTCTGAGAACATTGTTTGGTGGGACTATAAGCGAGCCGGGACGCTTCGCCACTGCTTGATATTTGATATTTACTTCCTCTTCTAGAAACAAACAAACGCCTGAAGCATAAACTTTTGGCACTCCGCGCAGATTTCTTGGATCTGCGCTGGACCCCTCCCTGGCGCGCGGTGCGCGCCAGGGGTGGCGCCGGAGGCGCCGCCGGGGGGGGACCCGGCGCGGACCTCAGAACTCCGCGCGGAGCGCCGAAAGTTTGTTTATGGGGTTGTTTCTTCTTCGACTCCCTCTTCTGAGCCTCGATGGCAAGACCGGCTTAGTAAGGATGAGCGACTTTCCAAGGTTTTCCTTGCATCCTTCCCCGTCCGCCCATCCATGGCCGCGTTCGCTGGCCGCGCCCCGCTCTTAAAGTGTCGGCATGGCCTTCCAAGGCCCCTGCACCCTTCCCTCGCACTCTTATGATACGGGTTGACTGGGTATACTTCGAGGCCTCCTAGATGGGGTCGGAGTATAAGGGGTCGGTGGATGGCGCCGCATCGCCGATACATCGGCGATGCATCGGCGATGCATTGGTGAAGCATCGCCGATGCACCACCGACGTCGGCGACGCATCGGCGACGTCGGCGTGGAGAACATCGGGCTCCGCATCGAGCCGCATCGGCGATGCATCGCCGATGCGGCGCGATCCTCCGACCCCATCTACTCCGACCCCATCTTAGGAGGCCAAGAGTACTCCCCTCCTCTGAGCCTCGATGGCAAGGCCGGCGGAGTCTCGGCCCTCCGTCTCGTCGACGCTGGTGTGCCCCACGACCACCACGGCCGCGTCCGCCGCGGCGGCGGCGGCCGCCGCCCCGTCCAGGGCGGCGCTCGGGTCGTCCCGCGGGGCCCGGGGCCTGCAGCCCAGGAGGAGGAGGAGGAGGAGGAGGAGGAGGAGGAGGAGGAGGAGAAGGAGGAGGAGGAGGAGGAGGTGCCCGGGCCTGCAGCCCAGAAGGAGGTGCGCGCCCACCGGGGGCCTGAGCGAGGGCACCCACTCGACCTCCAGCTCCTGGGGGAACAGAAACAATATTAGAAGACACGAACGAACACCAGAAGCATAAACTCTTGGCGCTCCGCTGGGCCCCCCTCCCTGGCGCGCAGAGAGCGCCAGGGGCGGCGCCGGAGGCGCCTCCAGGGGGGGACCCGGCGCAGATCCAAGAACTCCGCGCGGAACGCCAAAAAATTATGTTTATGGCGGCTTCTCTTGAACACAACAATATTAAATCAATGACACACGCCGCCGCGGGGAGCCCACCGTCAGCGTGGTCCTGCCGAGGATGCGCCAGGCCTCCGGGCAAGCACGAAGGAGCAGCACGCTGACAGAGCCTCGCCACGGCGGCGTCTCGTCGATATGGGGAGACCAAAAGGTACCGACACGACAGCTACTCCCCGGACCTCTCCCAGGGTGCGTTCCGACCAGGATCTCGAAGCGAATCCAGCGGTGGCGACGTGGGCCTCCGAGGAGGCCCCAACGGGGGAACACGGGGGAAGGGTAGGGGTGTATCGGTGCCTTGTCCTCCTCCGACGACAGGCTTTTGCTCCCTGCGGAGCTCCGTGCCGCAGCCCGCCGCCAGCCGCGCGCAGACGCGGACCTCGTCCATCCGCGGGCACATGTCCCCGACCGACTGCGGTCTAGGCCCGCCGGCGCCGCCGGGCCGCGGCAGCTCGGCGATGACCTGGCCACCGACGCGGAAGCGGGCCCTGCCGCTGCAGGCAAGGCCGAACTCGTAGACGCCCGCGGCGGGCGGCGTCAGCACTCCGGCCAGGCGCACCGAGTAGGACCCCTTCCTGCCCGGCTGCACCGGGTTCCGCGGGAGGACCAGGCCCGGGCGCATGGCGTCCTCCACGCAGATTGGAAACGACACGGCACGCACCACATCTGGCCAGAGCCCTGCACTATCTTGGGGCCCAGAGTGGCCCTGGCCAGGATTGGTCGTGGGGTGTGTTTGCCGCCTGCTGATCCTCGGCCATCGACTCGACAGGCCTGGATCCCATCGCCTCGCCGGAGGGCCAGTCCTTCCCGGGAAAGACGGCCATGTCCAGCATCCCTCGGCCGCCCGGTGCTCGGCACAGGTCCGGCGTCAACTGCGGCAGGTACCCGCTCGAGTCGCAGCCCGGCTCGTAGGAGACGGCACCGCTCACCAGGCGGCGCAGCGCGTGCACGAAGTTGCGGCTGCTGGGGTTCACCCTGACCTGGGAGCTGCCCCCGCCCATCCTCGGGAGCGGCCAAGACGGGGGGTGTCCAAGAGGGGGGGGTGCAAATCATGACCGGCGGCACGTGCGCGGCCCAGCGGGGGGGCCAGGGACGCAATGAGATAAGAAAAGGCGCCATGAAATCTGCGGAAATATCATGGCCCCCGCCAGGATATCCCCCCCCTCCCTATAGTCATCACCCTCCCTCTTTGCCGCCCCCCACATCCACTCGAGCTCCTCCCCGGCCGGGCTGATGACCGCGACGCTGCAGCGGGCAGGGAGCGGCAGCGCCCCGCCGGCGTTCTTCAGGAGCACGGCGGACTCGGCCGCTGCCCTGTGCAGCAGGGCCCTCTGGCCCTCGGTGTTGCGAGACGCCGCCCCCTCCTTCGGGAGGCAACTGCTGGGGGGCCTTCGTCGGAATGACCAAGACTGCGGATGCCATGGCAATGGACACCCTAAAAATCAGATCATTGCATTTAACATGTGTTTAACATGTGTGAGACATGTTCTGAAAGTGTTTCAAACATTTGTTTTTACATACGAAAGACATGCTTGAAACATGTTCTAGACATCTGAGAATTAGTTGGCAGCACGCTCCCTCTCCATTAATCGACTTCCACAAGACTAAGGAGGAGTATAAACCCCATTGGGGGGCTACTGCGCCGGATTCGGACGCGGATCAAGCGGGCTTAAACCAGATTTAGCGGGATTCAGCGGGATTTAGACGGATGAAGCCGGACTTCGGACCAGGGCAAAGTCAGAATTTGACCTCCCAGGAGTTGCATCCGAACCTCCCGTCGGCGATGCCATGAGGGCCCTAAGACCGAGTGGCAGCAAACAGGGAAGGCTCAGCGTGAGGTCTCCCCCGGACGCCGTGATCTTTTTCGCAGCGTCGACCCCCAGAGGTCTGGACCCCTTCTCCAGGACCAATCCTTCCTCCCGAGTCGTTCTGTTGATGATCCCGAGGCCCGTGAAGGGCCCCCCGAGGCGTAAACTGGCGAAAAACCGAAGGATTGCAAAAAACCCTGGATTGCAAAAAACCTGGGTTTTTTGCAATCCTTCGGTTTTTTGCAATCCTTCGGTTTTTTGCAATCCTTCGGTTTTTTGCAATCCTTCGTTCCGCCGTGACTTTTTCACCACGCGGCGGGGTCTGGGCCTTCCCCATCCTCGGGGGCCAGACCCCTCGGGACCCGCCCCCGAGCCGCAGATCCTGCTCGCGGGCCCCCGGCCGCAGGAGCCCCAGCCGCTCCATGACGCGCAGCACCGTGCGGGCCCGCCGCACGAGCAGCTCCCTCGGCACGCGGCCCTCCTCTCGGGGAGGCTCGGGCTCGGGGGGCTCGGGCTGGCCCGCCGGGGGCCATCGTGAGATCGACGAAGCCCCACCTGGAATCTGACGCGGCCTCCCGCTGCACACACCCCACAGGAGCTGGACCGGCAAAGTCCAGGACGCGCTCGTCAAAAAGTGTGGGCGAACCCGAGTCCCAGCGCACTCGAGTCTACAGACAACACATGCACAGGCACAGTAAGGGCGCGCTGTGAGGGCGCAGGACCCTTGGACTGTCCTTGGACGCCCCGGCTGTAGCTTCTCTAGCGGCGCACTGCCGAAAAAAAACTCAGGACGCAAGGGGTGCCCTTGGGCAGGTTACAGTCGGGCCGCTGAAAGAAGGAACGCTAAATAAGGAACGAAGCCCCTTTTTGGCCCTAAAAGCGCCTCCGTGCCCGAGGAGGGCGAGAGGGGCAGCAATGGAGGAACCTGGGGAACATCGAGCCCCTTCCGAACCCAAACGGTTCCTTATTTCGGCGTCTTGACTGTACCCGTCCTTACCATGGATTCTCACTGCACGTCTCCACGATCCTCCACGGCACTGCGCAGAGCCGGCCCGTAGCTCATGCCGGCGGGCCAGCCCGGCATCTCGACGTCGAGGCCGGCGTGCAGGCACCCCTCGGTGCTGTGGGCGCCGAACCAGTCGCTCACCACCAGCCCCTCGAAGCCCCACTCGGTGCGCAGGACCTGCTCCAGCAGCCACCTGCACGGGGGAATGAACAGCGGGCCCCGCGCACGACGGCATGGCGACCTCGCGCCGCGGCTCACGCGGGCCAGCAGCGCGGCGCGCTGCGCCGGGAACGGGGGCGGGCACGCGCCACCTTGCGCAGGAAGCCTGCGCGCGAGTGTCCGCGCACTCGACCTCGTCCTCTTCCGTCGCTCACCTGTTCTCGCTGCAGAACGTGCCGTTCAGGCGGTTGTAGCCGGTCATCACCGACAGCACGCGCCCCTCGCGCACGGCGGCCTCGAACGGCCGGAGATGGAGGAGCCGCAGCGCCTCCTCGGAGACCTCCGCGCTGACCGCCATGCGTGCTCGCTCCTGTGGAGAGAAAAAGGAAAACGGTGACCATGACCAAGCCTGAGCGCGAAAACGTCGGTGTCGATCTTGGCCACCGTCCATCAGTTGGTCCCCGTCACTTCGTAGATCATCCTCGCGAATCGGCGACGGTCGGCATGGACCATGACCACGGTCGGCGTCGGCAGGATCCCGCAACATCTTGGTCATGGTCATCGTGTCACTTCTTCCCCGTAACGGTGCCCCTGACTGGTGTCGGTTTTCGGGTCACCACTCAGGTCTGCGGCGCCCGTCGGGGACGATCCAGGCACCTCTGGACGCCTCTCGGCGCGGAGCAGCTGTCAGAGAGCACCGCGAGGCTGGAAAACCTCCGAGAACCGACGAACTCATCCGAAAACCTCTGACCTCGAAGCCTATCGAATCTCCGATCCTGGTCGTTCGCCACCAGGTGCTTCACGCAGCAGCCCACCCCCTGCCCCTGCACCCCCCCGATGTATGCCACGGCCAGCCGCGCCGTCAGGAACGGGTCCTCGCTGAGGCACTCGAAATGCCGCCCGGCCGTCGGCACCCGGTGCAGGTTGACGGTCGGCCCAAGCAGGATGTGCGCGCCCTTCCGCCTCGCCTCCTTCAAAAAGGGGGAGAGCAACGACGTGAGCAGGCACACGCAGACGTGGATGAGAGATCCGTGGATCCGGCGCGCCGGCGCCAGCTCCATGGATCTGGGAAGGTACAGCGGGGGCTCGGCCACAAGAAACCTCCGCACGAAGCCCAACCCTGAAATCCGCGGGTTGTTCAGTGAAAAGCCACGTGCGTCGATCGAAAATCGTCAAGATCTGATTGGCAGCCCATCGAAATCCAAGACACCCAGGGCACCCTGGGGAAATCCGACTGGTTCCTCGGCACGCGCCCCCCCTGCACCCCGGGAGCCTGCTCCCGTCTCGCTTGGCGACGGAGCGCGCCGACTCTGCACAGAACCGGGGCCCGTCGCTGGTCCCCGCGCCTCGATCCGTGCTTTCGCGCTTCCGCGGCATAGGGGGAACCGAAGTCTGTGCACCGACGCGTCTTCCGGCCCCGCATTCGAACTTGCACGGGAGAGCGGATGCGGGTGCACACGGGATCCTGGTGTATACATGTTCGTTGCTTCCCCGGGACATCGGGGAACAAAGTATACACCACACCACCCCAGCGTCGCCCTCGACCCTCAAAGAGTCCTGGGATTGAAACACAGCCCGCCACTGGTAATGTATGTGTTCCAGCTTCCGAACATAAGCATAAGCTATCGGCGGCCCACGCGGATTTCTTGGCTCGAGGCCGGGGTCCCCTGGCGGGGCCGCCCCTGGCGCGCCCAGTGCCGATCCGAGCAGTCCGCGAGGACCTCCAAACGTAGATGGTCATGCCGCCTTTGCTCCTCTTTCTGGGGGCGGGGGGGGGAGCACAAAGACACCGATACCCCTACTCCCCGGACCTCTCCTGGGGCGCGTTCTGACCAGAAAAGCTCGGAGAATCCAGCCCTGGCGACGAGGGCTCTCCAGGACGAGCAGCAGCGTCGGCATCCTCACCATCACGCTCAGCGCGCGTAGCTTGTCTCCCTTACTTTTGCTTGCGCGCCAAGGGGTGCTCTGGCGCCTGATTGGCTGGATGGTGCCGTCGGCAGAGGTTGGCCACATCATCGACGATGCATCGGCGATGCGGCGCGATCCTCCGACCCCTTCTGCTCGGACCCGACCTGGGAGGCCTGGAGCATCTCTGCATCCCTCCGACCACCGACTCCTCCCCCAGCAGGCAGCCCAGCTGCCCCAGCAGCTCCACGTCCCAGAGGGCCCCCAGCGCCGCCCCGCAGGGCGTCAGCGCGCTCGGGGGGCCCCCGTCCTTGAGGGAGAACGTTAGTGGGGGGACCCCGCTCGCGCCACATCGCCGCTCTGGCCAGCCGCTGCTGCCGTTATTCGCGTGCGCGGCGAGCGCAGGGGGGGAAGTGGGAAGGGGCGGGCCTTCACAGAAGGCTCGGAAGTCCCCTGGTCTTCTGAGAAGTTTCCTACGGCTTCCCTGAAGACACAGAAAACCTCTCAGAAGGCGCGAGGGCGTCTGAGAAGTCCCGCCGCCTTCTGAGAAGGCCTTCTCCTCCTCACGTCCCCCCTCGCTCGCTCCCGAGGGGGGGGGGACGGGCTCGGTGGGGGAGACATCGATCTCGAATCGGCGATACGTCACCGATCGATCGACGATTGGCCCCCACGAGCGAATCCGCACCTCCTTGGGCGGCGCGGGCCATCGGGCCCCTCTGGACGAAAAAGACAGCATAGACACAGCTTTCGGAGGTCCGCGCGGATTGCCTGGGTCTGCGCTGGGCCCCCATGGCGGCGCCTCTGGCGCCGCCACTCGCGCGCCCCAGGTGGGGGGCCCAGCGCCGATCAACAAAAATCAGCGCGGATCTGCAAAAGATTGCGTAGGCCCTTTCCCTTCGTCCTCGGCAACGAGGCAAGCACAGCAACGCAGGGCTCCGTAAGCCCTCTGCGATGGCCGAGAGTCTCATGCACGCCTTGGCACCAGCCCTCTAACTAAACAGTCTGCTGAGGTGCGCCCCAGTTTCTCCACCTCCTCCTCCTCCTCCTCCTCCTCCTCCTCCTCCTCCTCCTTCACCACCGGCGATCAATGGGCGATCAGGGGTCGATGCGTCCCCCCCTTGAGCCTGCCGGCGGCGAGCGAGGGGGGAAAAAGCGAGAAGGAGGAGGCCTTCTCAGAAGGTTCGGACGTCCCCCAGAGACTTCTGAGAAGTCTTCTCTAAGCCTTCCCCGAGGGCAGAAAACTCTTCTCAGAAGGCGCGAGAGAGCTTCTGAGAACGTCCGCCGCCTTCTGAGGGGAGGCCTTCTCCTTCTCGCTTCCCCCCCCCCTCGCTCGTCGCTGAGCCTCTCCGAACCCCCCTCAACGTTGAACGTTGCCCCGCGTGGTCCTCCACGCCCCGCGCCCCGAAGGGGCCGTCCGTGAACCGCAACGGCGGGATGCCGAGCCGCGGCACGCCGTGGTTGTGCCACAGGTCGCGGCCGCTGACCTCGGGTCGGGCGACGGACGACGACGAAGAGGAGGACGACGACGACGACGACGACCACGACGGCGGATGACGACGACGACGACGACGACGACGACGACGACGGACGACGACGACGACGACGACGACGACGACGACGACGACGACGACGACGACGACGACGACGACGACGACGACGGCGGCGGCGGCGGCGGCGGCGGCGGCGGCGGCGACGGGCGGGCGGCGAGCGGCGAGCGGCGGGCGGTGGGCGGCGGGCGGCGGGCGGCGGCGGGACTGGTACACCCTGCGAAATGCTTAAGAAATCATGGGTTAAGAAATTCATAATCTCAGAACTTGAATAAAAACCCAACATGCCCATTAAAATCTTAAGATTTACATTGAAACGTTAAGAATAATCGAGACTCTGGCCGAAAACTTAGGTTTTCTTAAGCATCGCCTAAGGTGTACAGCTCATCTCACGCAGCCGGCTCTCTCGGCGCCAGAACGCCAGTGTCTTGAGGAAACGCGCCCGGCGTCGGGGCCGCGAGCCCAGCGGCATGCGACCATTTTTCGGTATACACCGCCCTTTCGGCCGCTCCCCGCTCACCAGGCCGACCAGCTCGTCCACGGAGAGCCCCCGCAGCACCTCCTCGCAGTGCAGGCCTGGAGGAAAATAGCAGAGGGAAGCTATACACAAGCACAGAGCATAGAGACCGTCGGAGGTCTGCGCGGACTTCTCGGATCGGCCCTGGACCCCCCTCCCTGGCGCGCGGAGAGCGCACCAGGGGCGACGCCGGAGGCGTCGCCGAGGGGGCCCAGCACTGATCCGAGACACCCGCGCGGACCTCCAACAGTTACTGCGTTTTCTGCGCTACGTGTTTGACCATGGACCCCTTGCCACCCATGGGCCTTGGACAGTCTTCGGCGGTCTTCGGCGGTCTTCTGACGCTCGTCGGCGGACTTCGACGGCGTCCAGCGGTCACCGGCGGCCTTCGGCGCGAGAACCGGACGGTCACGTTGCACAAAGGGGTCCAAGATCGAACGCTAGACTCGTAGAGGCCTCCCAGACGGGATCCGAGTGGATGGGGTCGGAGGATCGCGATACATCGGCGATGCGGCGCGATCCTCCAACCCCACCTACTCGGACCCCACCTGGGAGGCCTAGACTCAGGTCGGGCATGTCCTCCTCCAGGCGAATTTCGCAGGAAAAACGAACGGTAGTAAAACAGTTTGCGAAATAGCCAGAATTAGCAGAAAAAATCGTCTCCAGACTATTGTTCAACCACTCTTGAACATTCCTCCTGTAGAGGGAAACGCTCGACTTAAAGCCTCGACCTCTTTAGACAGGCGCGTTCCACTACTCGCAGAGTAGCTGCTCGCAAATGGCCTGGATCCGCCGCGGGGAATCCGCGATATTGCACACCGAGGAAAACACATGTTCTTCGGACGTTTGCAAGTAGGCACTTTGCGAGCAGCGGAAGGCCCTCGGTGACGCTTCGTCTCCGAAGACCGCCGGCGGCGGCCGCGGGCCACGCGGCCGCCGCGGCGGGCGCCGCCGGCGGCCCGCCCTCCGCGGCGGCGGCCCCGGCGTGCCCGCACAGCACGCCGAGGCGGCGGGCGGCGGCCGGGGCCGACGCGGCGGGCATCGCTGCGCGGCAGAGCTGATGGGCCTCGACCAGATCACACACACACACAACAACAACAACAACAACAACAACAACAACAACAACAACAACAACAACAACAACACCAGCAGCAGCAGCAACAACAGCAGCAGCAGCAGCAGCAACAACAACAACAACAACAACAACAACAACAACAACAACAATCATTTTACCCGAACGCGTGGTGTTCTCCCCAGTGCCAGGGTTTTCATACGACACCAGGCAATACCCCCACTTCGTGGGGGGGCATTACAAGCTCTACCAAATATCCAAACGACTCTTCGCGACCACCCAAACCCAGCTTCCCGCCCTATGACGTTGGGACACTTCACTTCGTGGCGTGCGGACGACCGTGGCTACTACACTGGCGTGGGGTACACACCCACAGAACTTGGTCACTTATTCGGGGCGGTGTATGTCCCGCAAAAAAACGAATCTGTCCCGCATGGTATTATTTGACAGGGATGATGGCCCTGGCAGGTGCGCAACCGTTGTCGCAGAAGTTCGAAAAAGTTGCTCGCAAAAGCCCGTTTGACAGAAATGTTTAAAAAGTGTTGGGTTTCCTACGAATCCGCAAGAGCGCGCGGGATGAGATTTTGACATTTTTTTGTTGAAAAACCATTGGTTTTTTGATGTTTTTATGTTAAAATCGCTCCGAACACTAAGCTTTTGGAAGGATTTCGTCTTGCGCGCGCGAATGTCCACTTTACCTTATTTTTTGCAAGGGATTCTTGAAATTTGATTATATTAGAACAAGAAATGTCATTTTATAGTGTTTTTTGCAAGGGAAAACGGATTACAACAAAACAACCGGATCTTGATCAACTCGAATTACCTGAGGCTTCCTCACGAAAATGATGAAAATGTAGCTGCGGCCTAGGCGCGGCGGGGGGGGCGCGCACCAGGGGGCCCAACAATAATTATTCTTTAGAATTAATAATGTTCAACAACAGCAGCAACAACAACAACAAAAAACGAAGCACGCCAGAAGACCCGGATCGCCACGCTGGACCCTCCCTCGAGCCTCGAGGATCCTCGATCCTCGAGGATCCTCGCGAGCCGATGTTCAATCACCACGACCACAGGCAGTTAGGAGAGGGAGGCGGAGGAGGAGGAGGAGGAGGCAGAGGAGGAGGAGGCGGAGGAGGAGGAAGACGAGGAGGAGAAGGGCCTCCCCATCCTCCCTTCTCCCCGGTCCTACCTATGGTAGCGGGCGGCCCCAGCGGGCGGCGGTTGATAGACAAATGCTTTCACTACTCGCACAGAGTAACAACTCGCAAATGGCCTGGATCGGCCGCGGGGGATCCACGATCCATTACATCTAGGCGATACGTGTTTGAGTATGCACTTTGCGAGTAGTGGAACGCGCTTGGTGAGTTGAGCGGACGCCTCGGGCTGCCCTCGGGCCGACGCGATATGGACAAGAGGCTGCTAGATATCTGGACGCCCGAAAACATGTACAGGGAAACGGGGCACGATGCATAGCAATTGCTGCTGTCCAACACCGACAGCGGCCGCTGCTGGGCAGGCGGTCTTCTCCAATAGAACAGGCCCGCGGCGGCACCGACAGCAAACCCAGTTCAAAATGGGCAGGAACTGCTGCCACTCTTGGTCCCCATTCTTTCTGTACCCATTTCGATCGTACCGACGTCCCGAAGAAGAACCTGAATACGCCATCTAGCCAGCCGATAGGGGTTCCAAGCGGATATTGCAGTCCAGCCAACAAAAACACACACACACACATACACACAAAGTCTACGTTCTGAAGACTCAACGCCGACGTTTATGGTCTACGTTGCTAACGCGCGCGTCGGGAATGCCACGTGGCGCACATCGCGCTCGGGAGAGCGGAATGTCGCTCTCCCCTCAGCGCGGCGCATATTTGAAAGTGGCGCTCCGACCTGGGCGCGGCGCACATGTTGCGCTCGCCAGTTTTTGGCGCCAGGGTCGCGCGGGAGTGGGCGAACAGTCGCTCTCGCCTCAGCGCCGCGCACATTTAGCCTGAGAGTTGCGCTCCCGCTTGGGCGTGGAGCAGATTGTTATTTCGCCAACTCGTTTACAGCGTGGTCGTGCGCGAGCGGGTATAATATCGCACTCCCAAACACCGCGCAGAGTTGGCCTGAAAGTGGCGCTCTCGCTTGCATTCGCAAGTCCCGTCCGAAACTTGGCTGCGCGCAGAAACGCAAGGAACGTGCGCGGAGGAGGAGGAGGAGGAGGCGGAGGAGGAGGAGGCGGAGGCGGAGAAGGAGGGAGGAGGAAAATGGGGGAGGAGGAGGAGGAGGAGGAGGAGGAGGAGGCCCCTCGTACTGCCCCTCCTGCCCCCACCTCCTGCTCCCGATACTCGCCTCGCTGCACCCTGCTGCCCTCCCCGCTACGCTGGCCGCTGCGCGCGCGGGGCCTGCGGAGGAGTTCACGAGCGCCAGCGTTGTGAGGTCCACGTCCCACCTCTCCTGAGCGGCGCGACGGCGAGCCCAGATCTGCGACGCTACGCTGCTGTTCCGTCCGCGCGACGTCCGTCTTTGAGGCTACAGCACCTGATCCCGCACGATGGCACCCCCTGGAAATGGGGCGGGACCTCCAGGGCCACGCATTGGGAAAAAAACGCATCGTCGGATGTCTGGGAAGATCTCAGTGCCGAATCCGCCACAGTGCCCGTGGGCACCAGGCAGAGTGCCCTCCGGCCCCCCCTCTTGCGCAGAGTGCCCTCGACACGGAGAGCATCGCAGGAGCCCCTCCTCGGGGGGGGCCCACCTCGCCCTCCGACTTTTCCCGTCGCCCTCTCGGTCGCTCCTGGGCGGCTCGCGGGAGGCCTCCAAGGAGGGCACTTCTCAGCTCAGCTTGCCCCAGGCACTTCTTTCCTCCTCTCGCTCTCCCTCCTCCTCCTCCTCCTCCTCCTCCTCCTCCTCCTCCTCCTCCTCCTCCTCCTCCTCCTTGAGGGGCGCAGCGCGCACTTCCCGCCATGTGCCAAGGTGGACTCCGAGGACCCCCAAGGCCCGGACCTCCAACGCCCTGGGAACAGCAGGACCGGGAGCTGTGCTCGCCCAGTGGTCGGCCTCCGGGGGGGGGGGGCCCTCGCCAGGAAGAGTCGGCCCTCCGGGCCCCGGGGGCTCTCTTCTGGGGAAGGGGGGGGGGCGCCAACCCCGCGAGCCGGCGGCAGGCCCGCGGGCGCCGCAGAGGGACTTCGGCAGGCCAGAAAAACGGGGTGGCACCACCCGCACACCCGCAATCTCGCGCTCTCTCTGTCTCTCTCTCTTTTTTTCTCTCTCTCTCTCTCTCTCTCTCTCTCTTTTGTTCTCTCTCTCTCTCTCTCTCTCTTTCTCCTCTCTTACCCTCTCTCTCTCTCTCTCTTTCTCGCTCTCGGTCGCTCTCTTTCTCTCTCGCGCGCGCAAGCATTTTCCTTGCTGTGTTCCTTCAACGCCGTGGCGACGCTGTCGTGGCTCCAATGCACTCGTGGCAAAAAGGCGTCTCGACGGGTGCGCTCCAGGGCAAGCGGTGGTGTCCCGTGCTGCGGACGGGCCATCTATATTCTCGGATTGCTCTATCTGTTTCGCTCTCTCTGTCTCTCTCTCTCCCTCTCTCTCTCTCTCTCTCTCTCTCTCTCCCTCTCTCTGTCTCTGTCTCAGTCTTTCTCTCTCCCTCTCTCGCTCGTTCTCTCCTTCTCTCTCTCTCTCTCTCGTTCTCTCTCGTTCTCGCTCGAGCCACCTACCGCCGCTTGACAGGGCGCAAAGCGACCTGTGGGTCCGCATCCATCGCTGCGCCCTTGCCAAGCCAGACCTCTTCAGGGCCGAAAGGGTCACCAGCCACCTCAGGACGTGGGCGTGAACGAAAACCGTTTCAGCACCATTGCGGAAGAGTCCAACCGCCAAGCCCACCACCTGGCCAACGACGCGGTCGCCCTTCACCACCTTCCGTCTCCCCTGATCGAGAAAGCCAAACAGCGCCAGGGCTTTGCCGTTGTGCTACATAGCGTCGCTGTCGCCATCTACGGCGAACGGCACCGCACTCTCCTGCTCCTTCACAGACGAGCGGGCTACACCAACGCCCAGCTGCGCAAGCTTGAACCCAACTCCATGTTCACTGCGGCGGCCGCGCCCAGCGGCCACCAGCGGCTCCCAGGAGATCTCGACGACCTCTGGGAGGAGGCTCAACGCCTCGTCGACTCCGAGAGCGACCCAGACGAGGACCCAGTTGGTTTCGGCGGAGGCATGGAGGATTTCGGCGTTCCCACTACCCACGCCCCGATGCCACCAGGCCTCCGTCGGCCCCCCAGCCACTGGCCCGGGGGCACTGACCGCAGTCGTGTCATCTGATAAGCCTGGCTCAAAGCCCCCAAACAGCACTGCTTTTGCTGCCCCACGCCACGGTGACGGCCCAGGGGCACCGACCGTAGTCGTGCCCACTGGCGAGCCGGCCCCGCCACCGCCCCACCGCACCGTCGCCGCCGACTTGCACTACGGCTCAGGTCCCGATGACGAGGGAGACCCGTTCGGCCTCGGGGGCAGCAGGAACGACGAGGACACCAATTCCCGATCGCCCCAGGCCACGGTCACCCATGCCCCGGCTGCTGAGTCCGACACACGGACCAGGGCTCAGCCGCTTCCGCCAGCTCCGTGAGCCCCTGGCTCACTCCGCGTCGCCCCGCAGCGGTCGGGCGCTCGCACTACCACGCCCAAGCACTAGCGCTACGCCGACTTGGCCAGCGGGCCTCCCACTGCGGCTGCTGCTGCCAGCAACGCTTCTGGCCTGGCCCCCCCCCTTCTGCCGCCCGCCCGAGCCGAGCCGCGTTGGCCAGGCACCCCCCCGTCGGTCGACGGGCCCCCTGCGGCGACGCGCGCCGTCGCCCCCAAGCCCGAACCAGTGCCCACGCGAGGCGCTGACCGCCGCGCACGCCTCGCCACGCACCTCGCCAGCAAGGCTGCTGCTGCCTGCCCGCCTCATGCTCCGCGTCCTGCCCAGGGCCGAGCCGCAGAACTCCAGGCATCACACGACCAACTGAGTGTCCAGTACACCGTGCTTACGCGCAAGGTTCGCCCCTTGACCTCCCAGCAGAGCCTGCTGATGCAACGTTTTCACCGCGCTCAGGCCGCCCTCGCCTCCCTCCGACCCTCGCCTCCGAAAGCTGCATAACCCTCTCGGTACCATGCATGCCCGCATACGGCCTCCACAACGGCCGTAGGCCCCACCTCTTGCCAGCCCGATTGCCCGCGTGGCATCGCGTCATCGGAGCCTGGCTGCGGCGGCGGGTGACGCCCCGTCGTTCGCAAGCCGCTCAGCGGCCAAGCCCTTGTCCCCCGGCCGCCAACCGGGGCTTCGCCGACCTGGGCCACTTTCCCACGCGGAGCGCAGAGAGACTTGGCGAATCGCCTGCTCAGCACCCCGTCTCTTGCTACAGTCGCTTAGCGCCGAACCAAGGTGTGCACCACCGCCAAACATGCATTGGCGGCCTCGGCTACCGCAGAAGCAGGCTATCGACGGGACTCCCGCTTACTTGTCCGATGACTCTCTCTTTATCTCTCTCTCTCTCTCTCTACTTTTGTTGTTTTCTCTCTCTCTCTCTCTCTCGCTCTCTCTCTCTCTCTCTCTCTCAGTATGTATGTATCGCCACACACTGTATCCTTCATCGTTCCACTTCTTCTTCTCCTCCTCCTCCTCCTCCTCCTCCTTATCCTGCTCCTCCTCGTCCCCCTCCTCCTCCTCCTCCTCCTCCTCCTCCTCCTCCTCCTCCTCCTCCACCTCCTCCTCCCTCCCTCCCTCCCTCCCTCCCTCCCTCCCTCCCTCCCTCCCTCCTCCTCCATCCCTCCCTCCCTCCCTCCCTCCCTGCCCCCCACCTTTGCTCCCACCAGCGCGGTCCTTCATCCTCGCTCCTCCGACGTTTCCTCCTCCTCCCTGCCCCTAGGTGTTCCTCGTCCTCCTCCTCCTCCTCCTCCTCCTCCTCCTCCTCCTCCTCTACCTCCTCCTCCTCCTCCTCCTCCTCCTCTTCCTATCTCGATCGTTTTCCTCTGGTCTTCTTGCTCGTCCCCCCCCCTCCTCCTGCGTCTCGTCTCCCCCCTCCCCCCTCCCACCCGCCCTCTCTCCTCTGCAGAGGTGCTCGAGCTGCATACCCTGTACTGCGCCCCGCCCCATTGTCACGAAGCCCAAGAGTCCCCCAAATCTTCCCTCCTCCTCCCTCCTCCTCCTCCTCCTCCTCCTCTTCCTCCTCCTATCCTCCTCCTATCCTCCTCCTCCTCCTCCTCCTCCTCCTCCTCCTCCTCCTCCTCCTCCTCCACCTCCTCCTCCTCCTCCCCGTTGGAGGCGACGGCGACCGCGACGGCCGAGGACGACGGCGGCGACGGCCGATGGCGACGACGAGAGCACGCGGCGGCCGCGCCCCGCGGTCTCCTGCGGCGCGGCACCGGCGCCCAGTGTGGTACTGCCGCGAAGGCCGCGCGCGGCGGCCGGGGCGCGGCCCGCTGCTGCATTGACTACTGCGCGGAGGGCGCCGCCGCCGCAGCCACCGCCGCTGTAGGACGAGCAGGAGGAGCAGTGGGAGGAGGAGGAGGAGGAGAAGGAGGAGGAGGAGAGGGAGGAGGAGGAGGAGGAGGAGGAGGAGGAGGAGGAGGAGGAGGAGGAGGAGGGAGGAGGAAAGGGAGGAGGAGGAGGAGAAGGAGGAAAGGGAAGAGGAAAGGGAGGAGAAGGAGGAGGAGGAGGAGGAGGAGGATGGAAGAACCATTACGACGAGGAGGAGGCGCTGCGGCGGCCGGGTCCACGGCACCGACGTCGTCGCAATCGCAAGCGTTCGGCGTCGTAGAAGGCCATCCCGTCACGCCATCGCCGTCGGCAGCCTTCCGCTGCCTTCGGTTGATTTCGCCGTCGCCGTCGCCCTCGGCGACCCTCGGCGGCGCAGGCGTTGTCGCGATCGCGGTTGTGGTCGTGGTCGTCGTCGTCGCTCCCGCCGCCGTCGCCGCACCAGACCCCCGGGTGCAGTGATCAAACCTCAGCGGAAGGTTTGGGGCTAGTTTCGGCTTCCAAAGACCGCTTCCGGAGTGCGGCCGGTCCCGGGAAAAGATCCGCACTATCACCATAAAAAAGACGTCGAGTGTATGGGTGGTCGTCGTGGTCGCCGTCCTCCTTGGCGCCGCCGCCGCCGTCCTCGTCGCCGTCACCGCCGCCGTCGCAGCTGCACTGGCTGCTACCGAAGGGCGCGAGAGGCGCCGACGTTTCAGATCCGCCGCTACCCGGCCCCAAGACCAGCAAGATTGACTCTGGGTGAAAAGCCGGCCCAGGGGAAGGGGTCGAGATGCTGAGATCCCTGTGGTCGGCGTGTCGGTCACCGTCCGTCGCAGTCGTCGCCTCAAGACCTCGATCCTCGAGGACCGAGGAAAGAGGCTTTGAGACTGCGGCCTCACAAGAGCTCAGACCGCAGCCTCCCCCTCTGCCGCAGCCAGCTCCGCTGCCTCGTTCCCCGCCGCCAACCTCGCTCCTCCTCCCAGCCCGCAGCGACTCGAGAGCTACCCCCCCAGGGGTGTCTCTCGACGCGGCGCAGCCCATGGAGGACGCTCCCGCGCCCGAAGAAGCTCCAGGGATCGCACAAGAACCTCGAAGACGAGGAGGAGGAGGAGGAGGAGGAGGAGGAGGAGGAGGAGGAGGAGGAACTTCCCTCCTCTCCTACCTCGGCTTCTCCACGGCGTCCGCCCCCTCCGGTGGGGGGGGGGGGGGGGGGGGCGAAGGCTCGTGTGCTTGGTGACTGCCCTGCGCGGGGCTCTGCTGGTTTCTCCGAGACCTCGTCGCCGCTGCCTCCTCTCAATCCTGCCCTCTGAGGTCGCCTCCTCTCTGCGCGCAAGATCCGCCCCCGTCGCCCTGGACCGGGGGAGCGGGGAGGGAGGAGGGCCTCGCCCCAGTCTCGCGCGCCGCAGGATCCTGGGGCTCAGGCCTCCACCGCCTCTCGCGGCGGCGCCCGCTCACGGCGCCCGCCCGAGGCCGTCCCAGCATCCGGCCCATGCAGTCGGACCCAGGCGAGAGGAGCATCCCTCCGCCGCCGGCTAAAACACACAGAACATGCAAGGGTACGCTCCCCCAGGATGCACGACCCAACAGGTACGAAGAACATTGGGGTCTCCTCCCCTCGCCGACCTCGATCTGATAGCTAGGTCCGACTGTATATTCTTGAGCCCCTGACGAACGCGAACCTACCCGAAATAATACTCACTGTACTGGCCGACATCATGTCATGGTCATGCTCCTGTCCCAGAGACGACGACGACGCCGTTGTAAACACACAGAACGTGCAAGGGCACCCCCCTCCAAGGATGAACAACAACATCTAAACACTAGGGTCTCATCCCCGCACAGACCTCGATCTGATCCTTCCGTCCGAAGGTCGATTCTTGAACTCCTTTCAAGCGCGAACCTACCCCGAAGTATACTCACTGTACTGGCGGACCTAAGTTCAATTCCAGGCTCCTGTCCCCGAGACGACCCCGCCGTTTCTCGTAAACACACAGAACGTGCAAGTGTACCCCACAAGGATGCACAAAAACATCCAACAACCACGAAGAAAATTAGGGTACCCTACCCGCACCGACCTCGATCTTATACCTCGGTCCAGCTGTGGATTCTTGAGATCCCGACGCGCGAACCTATCCCGAAGAATACTCACTGCTCTGGTGGCGGCGAACATCATGTCATTGTCATGTTCCGTTCCCCGAGACGACGCCGCCGCCGTCGTCGTCCCAGACGTCGCCGCCGCCACCCCAGGGCTCCTCCGGCCCCCTCCAGCGAAAGCGGCCAAGGATGGGCCGAGGAGGGTGGACCCGATGGGCTGGGGTTCGTCATCGGTCGCAGAGCTGTCCCTGACTTCGGATCCGCAGTGCATTGTCCGTCCCACTTTTCAGGCTCCCTTGATGTGAACCTCCGCTCCACTTTGCCGTCGCTGCTTATGCCATACTCCTGCGAAACTAACCGCCCGCTTGTTCGCCATTTCTGAGGCGGAAGCGTCCGCATTGCTTGTTCGCATCGTTGGGCTGCATTTCCGACGCAAGGCGGATCACCCAAAGTACGGCGGATCCGAAGTAGCCACCGCCGCCATCCGCCGCCGCCACTCCCAAGGCTCCTGACCTGAAGGCTGCAGGGGCAGCGCAGATCCAAGAAATACACATGGAGCTCCAAAGGCTTCTGCCGACGCAGTTTTCACGACTCGACGCCATCCGCCGCCGCCGCACCCAAGGCTCCTGACATCTCCGCGAGGGCGTCGGCCAGCCGAGCTGCATCCTCGACCATCGATCCCCGAAGGAGGAGGAGGAGGAGAAGGAGGAGGAGGACAAGGACGAGGAGGAGGAGGAGGAAGAGGAAGAGGAAGAGAAGGGGACAGCTAATCAGGAGAAGGAGGAGGAGGAGGCGGACTAGGATGAGGAGGAGGAAAAAGAAGAGGAGGACGAGGAGGAGGATGAGGTGGAGCGTGGCCAAAGACGTGTGTGTTCTATCACTGGAGACTCCCGCACCCCGCAGAGCGAGGAGTGAGAGTTGGCGGAACCCCCTTCGATAATTTCCTCGCTGAAGAAGCAACACACGAAGAAGGGAACAGTTAAGACGTGTTCCGCATCAGGGTTCGAGATGGCCACCTCAATCGACAGGGGACTCAGGAGGGTCTCCATCGCCCCGAACTTCTTGGTTTTCTGCCCACCCAGCCGACAAGGCAATGTCTTCAAACTTCTGGCAGTTGTTCGGTGTCGCTCTCGGTTCGATGCGAGTGGGACAATCGCAGCTTCCACAAGGACGACTCATGGCTGCGAACGTGCGTTTGCCACGCTCGGGGCCCGCAGTGCCGCAGGCCAAAACATCGCGCCCCTCAGGATGTTGGAAATGGCACTGAGAACGACAACGCCTCCGACCATAACAGGCAAAGTACCACCTGCGGTGGACACCCTCCCGGGCCAGGCGAGGGCAGTGCCGAACAGCTCCTCAGAACTATCCACGCTGCAACTGGAATAACTTCGCCATCCGTACCTCCAACGACTCGGTGAGCCCCATGAGCTCCTTCCGTGTGCTCCGCTCGCTGTGTCCATCGCCTCAGTTTCCTCCTCGCCCTCACAAATGGCCCTGCGCAGGGAGGAGATATGATCACCGACAGGCATCACCATCAAGTCAAGGCTGTCGCTCAAGGACTCGAGGCGCGGCTCAATCGCATTGGCCGCTGTCACAGGCGCAGGTGACGAAACAGACGAGATGATGATCTCGGGGGCGATCTCCTTCACACTCGTCACAACGACCCTGGCAACCAAGTCAAGAGAGGGAACCCGAGCGCAACAGTCCCCCATATTCTCCTCGAGCAGCTCCATCTTCCGTTTGAGCTCACCTTGGGAATCGAAACTGGACGTGCCAGACACCGTGTCGCTCACTGAAACCTGCGTTGTTGCAGTACTTCGGAGCTGGGCGAGAAGTCAGCATTGTCACTTACCAGGTCCTGGCGTTGCTGTTGTGCGCATAGAGCTTCGCGGAGGCTGCAGCGTCATCGTCAGGCTGACGCTCAAGATGTGGTTGCGAGACACATGTCACAATTCCTTCCTGAATACCACCACGCCCATCCTCCTGCCTATAAAGAAAATCTAGGATATCTTCGTCCATAGATGATGCATCGCCCCCAAGCTCAGCAAGAAGTCCAGAGAGGCTCAACTGAGCCTTCGGGGCCGTGAGGTGCCGCAGGATGTTGAAGGCAATGCCGATGTTACACCTGCCGTGCAAAACCTGCCGAGATGCGCTTGCAACGTCGAGCAAGCCGTGCCGCCTCAGAGAGGCCTTCGTGATGTTGGCCCAGCGCCGTGCACAGCGACTGTTGGGCGGCGCCATGAAGCTGCAAGGCCGGCCCAGCCATCCCATGCAACGCGAGAGACGGGTGAGACGGAGAGCGAGGGGGGCGGAGGGCGGAGGGGGGCGGCCTATGCAGGCCTGCCTGCCTTGAGCCCAAGATGGCTACGGAGGAGGAAAAGGAGGAGAGAATAGAAGAAGAAGCAAAGGCATGCGGCATAAACATAAACGTTTAGCGCTGGGCGCGGATTTCTTGGATCTGCGCTGGACCCCCCTGCCTGGCGCGCGGAGCGCGCCAGGGGCGGCGCCGGAGGCGCCGCCGGGAGGGCACAGCGTGCATCCAAGAATCCGCGCGGAGCGCCAAAAGTTATGTTTATGGCGTTTTTGAAAGAGAGGAGGAGGAGGAGGAGGAGGAGGAGGAGGAGGAGGAGGAGGAGGAGGAGGGAGGAGGAGGAGGAGGAGGAGGAGGAGGAGGAGGAGGAGAGGAAAAGGAAAAGGAGGAGGAGGAGGAGGAGGAGGAGAGGGAGGGGAGAGGGGATGGCCATTGCGGCCACCGCCGCCCTCCGCCGCCGCCGCCGTCCGCCGCCGCCGCCCCCGGGGCTCCCGACACCGCCGCGACGGCGCCCGCCAGCCGCGGCGCCGGCATGGCGCCGCGCGCCCGCGCCGCCGCGCTCGGGCTGGGGGAGCGGCGGCGGCCCACCCGCAGGCGCGGGCGCCGCGTCGCGCCCTATCGGAGCGGCCGCGGGCGAACCGGGGGCAGAAGAAGAAGAAGAAGAAGAACATCCGACCGTCGGCTACACGCAAGTGTGACCCTTCCTCCCCCTCCTCCTCCTCCTCCTCCTCCTCCTCCTCCTCCTCCTCCTCCTCCTCCTCCGCCTCCTCCCTGGGTACGAGTGACCGTTGGTGCGCGGCTGTTGGGGGGCCGCGGGGGGACCAGACACAAGCGCGCAAGATGCCACTATCGCATCGCGTTCGGCGATCGGGGGACCCGAATTGGCCCGCACCGAAGGTCACTCCACCGAAAGGTCACTCCTAAGTGTAGTCGGTTCAAGAAAATGAGACCCTCCGCTGGCCAAACTGAAGAGCATTTGAGGGTACCCTACCCCAGGATGCACATGAGCATCCAGCAAGCACGAACAACATTAGGACACACTCCCCGAACCGACCTAATTCTTACGACTCGGTCCGACCGTATCTCATTCCTCCCCCCCTTCTCGTGATGGTCAGGGACCGACCGTCCCGACATTCCTGTAGGCCCAGGCCAACTACGAGAAGCTATTGAGAAAAAGAGAGGGTTCGAATAGCAGAAAAAACGACTGTCCCAGCCAAAAATGTCCTAAGAGCACAACGTGCAAACCACGTAAGGTTCTCAGAACATTCCTTGGTGGGCCCATGGGCGAGCCAGGACGCTTCGCCACTGCTTGACTGCTCCTCCTCCTCCTCCTCCTCCTCTTCCTCCTCCTCCTCCTCCTCCTCCTCCTCCTCCTCCTCCTCCTCCTCCTCCTCCTCCTCCTCCTCCTCCCCCTCCTCACGCTCCTCCTCCTCCCGCTCCTACCACCATCACCCCTCCTCACACTCCTCCTCTTACACGCCAGAGTGACCTTGGGCAAGAGCGACCTCCGGTGCGCGACGTTCGGGGGCCGCGGGGAGGCCGAGCCGGAGCGCCTTAGCGGCTGCTGTGGCATCGCATTCGTCTTGGGAAACCCCTGTGCCGGCACAGGAGGTCACTCCGACGAACGTATACAAGCGCGTTCCACGACTCGCAGAGTGACTGCTCGCAACCGGCCTGGACCCGCCGCGAGGGGTTCTCGATCCACTACGTCGAGACAAACATCTCTCTCGTCGGACGCTTGCGGGCAGGCACCCTTACGAGCAGAGGAACGCGCTCGGCGAGCAGAGCCGCGAGGGGCTCACGATCCATGACGTCGAGACAAACATCTCTCGTCGGACGCTTGCGGGCAGGCACCCTTGCGAGCAGAGGAGCGCGCTCGGCGAGTAAAGCCACTCTGACTTGGCGGCGCGCAAGGGGAGGGGGGAAGGCTTCTTAGAAGCACCCTGCTTCTTAGAAGGCCTCGGCCTTACGTCTACAGAGAAGGCCCGCGACTTCGCAGAAGCAGGGGTGCTTCTAAGAAGCCTTCCCCCCTCCCCCTACCCCCCTCCTCCTCCTCCTCCTCCTCCTCCTCCTCCTCCTCCGACGTGGAGCCGGCTCCTCCTGGCGAGCCGAGCCCGCCCCGGGCCGCCCGCGCGCCCGGAAGCCACACCGGAGGGCCCCCGTGGGCGCGCGGAGGGCCCGTGGGCCCCGGCGCGGAGGGCGCCCCCCGGCGCCTGGCCGGCCGCGGCCCGGGCGGGGCACGCCCTCGAGGGCCGGGGGCCTCGAGGAGGAGGAGGAGGAGGAGGAGGAGGAGGAGGAGGAGGAGGAGGGAGGAGGAGGAGGAGGAGGAGGAGGGAGGAGGGAGGAGGAGGGAGGAGGAGGGAGGAGGAGGGAGGAGAAGATGCTTTTTTCCCTTTTCCATCGGCTTCCAGCCAAGGGGCCCAGAAGGACACGCAAAGAAACACACACACACACACACAACTAACGGGATTCCCCCCGGGTTCCCATCTTTTTTCTGGGCGTTTGTCTTCCCCCCCACTTCCCATAGTTTCGTATATTTTCCTGGGAGTCGACGATGAATCGTGTCTGTGCGTTTCTTAATTACCCTCCTGACTCAGACCAAGCCGGGACGAGGATGGATCCAGGTCGGGATGAACCCCGAATCTCTGAGATCCGGCGGCTCTGGGGGACGTCTCGGGCGCCGCGGCCTTCTCAGAGCGCTCCGGCACGCTCGCGAGAGCGCTCCGGATCGATCCTCGTCCTGGCCCCGTCCGAGCACTGGAGGACCCTCGGGGGTCGGGGGACCTCGGGCTTCGAAGACGTCGCCGCCCTCTCGCCGTGGCAGCCCGCCTGCCTGGCGGCGACGCAGCCGGACGAGCTGGCCGGCGACGCCGGAAGCGGCCCGGACTGCTGGCTCCCTCCGAAGGGGACGATGCTACAGCGGAGGTGCCCGAGCCTGGCGCTGGCGGAGACGCTCAGCCTCCTCCCCTCGGAGCCGCAGCCCTCGAAGGCGGCAGCGATGTTCGCGGCTGCCAGCGGGGGCGGGGTGCTCTCGTGGCAGGAGGGCTCCAGGGCTGGGGCTCCAGCCCCCCAGGCCTCTGCCCGTTCTTCGGAGCCTTCCATGGGCCTCCCGGGGGGCGCCCTGGTCGCCGCGGCCGGATCCGCCTCGAGATCCTGGTCGGACCGATGACGATGACGATGACTATGCCGATGCCGATGAGGATGAGGATGAGGATGGCGATGAGGATGACGATCATCATCAGCATCATCATCATCATCATCATCATCATCATCATCATCATCATCATCATCATCATCATCATCATCATCATCATCATCATCATCATCATCATCATCATCATCATCATCATCATCATCATCATCATCATCATCATCATCATCATCATCATCATCATCCTCACCGTCATCGTCATCGTCATCGCCCCGTCGTCACCGTGGGCTCGACGTCGCCGTGGACGGCGCCGACGTCGTCGTGGCCGGCCGCGGCGCCCCTGCTGCCCAAGCGCGCGCCGAGGGCAGCCCCCCCCCCCCCCCCCGTTTTTGGTTGGTTCCGCGCGGCTTCCCCCGGACGACGGCGACGGGTGCCGGGGGCCAGCGTCTTAAGACGCTGGCCCCCCGGCACCCTCGCGTCGTCCAACGAAAAACACGACGGGGAGCTTTTCCCGACCATCCCCCCCGGTGTCGGGGGCCGCGTTCTGAGGACTCCGCGCCCCGCGTCGCCTTCCTCCTCTCCTCCCCTCTCCTCCCTCCGCCCGTGCATGTCATCCCTTCTTCTGCCCTCCGCATGTCCCTGTTTCGGAATACACCCCTCACACGTTTCGTGCCCCCACGGGGAGCTCCGCCGAAGGCTCCTGTGGCAGCGCTCGCATGCGTCCCCCAGCCCATGTCGGCACCCCCCCCGCACGTTTGGTGCCCCCGCAGGGAGCTCCGCCGAAGGCTCCTGTGGCGGCGCTCGCATGCGTCCCCCTGCCCGTTCCGGCACGCCTCGCACTTTTCGTGGCCCCGCATGGAGATCCGCAGAAGGCTGCAGCGGCAGCGCTCGCATACGTCGCACGTTTCGCGGCCCCCATCCGCATGTCCCGTGCCCCATCCTTCCCGCGGCGCGCTACCTACGAGGAGGTGGTCAGATCCTGCGTGATTCGCAGGCTGGATCCCTCGCAAACCAAACTTGTTATTTTCTGCCTCGGGGGGCTCTGGCAGGGCCTCGGGACAGGCAGGAAACGGCTCAAGGTGAAAACTAGGCCCCGAGGAAAGGATCGAGACATACGGGGGTCCACGTGAAAAGATCATAACGTCCGGGGACTCGGGCGACGGCGGCGACGAGCCTAAGATCTGGGCATCGTCACGTTTCCATGCGGGGCAATTCTGTCTGGCGTCAGGGCCCGGGGCACTCACGGGTCTGTCCGTCTCGAGGCGCGCAAAGATGGGGCCGAGGGCCGCGGTCCTGATGTCCACGAAGTCACATGTTGCCCACGCCGTTAGATCCCAGGGGACGGCGGTTGCAGCGACGACGACGACGACGACGACAACGACAACGGACACAGGTGGCGACGGCCGGCGACGGCGGCGGCGGTGACGGCGAGAAGAACGAGAAAGAGAGAGAGAGAGAAAGAAAGAAAGAGAGAGAGAGAGAGAGAAAAAAAGAGAGAGAGAGAGAGAGAGCGCGATGTGGGGATCAGCTCAGGGTGGCGCGTCGAGCTCGAGCTGGCGACGCATCGCCGATAGATCGGCAACAGACCCCCGATGGCGAATCCGCATACTTCCTGGGCGGGGTGGGCTATAAGGCCCCTTATCGGCGATAAGTAAACGATCCTCCCTGAGCCTATCCCGCCATGACGTTGCCTCTGACTGGTCTCGGTTTCCGGCTCATAACTCGCATCTCCGGCGGCCCTTCGGGACGTTCTGAACACCCCTGGGCGCCTCTCGGCGAGGCGCAGCTGCTGGAGAGCACCCCGAGGCTGGAAAACCGCCGACAGCTAACGCAAACGTCCAAAAACCTCGACCTCGAAGCCTGCGGTTAGGCATTGTTGCTTAGTGTGTCGCGGCGGCAACCCCCAAGACATGCGATGCCCTGCAAGTGGATAGCGTGTCGCTCCACTCCGCGGGGCGGGAGGCTGGGATAGGCTCGGGACGTTGACGTTCGGGGACAGGGACGTGGATATCGTGTCGCGCCGCAGCGCCGTGGCCCAGAAGCAGAGGCGCGACGCGCGAAGCAAAAGCCCCCCCCCCCCCCCACCCACGTGGCAGGTCATCCTGCACCCAAAAAGGTTGCCACCTCTTGGGGACGCATGTTCTACTTCCGCCGACTTCCGCCGGCCTCCTCCTCCTCCTCCTCCTCCTCCTCCTCCTCCTCCTCCTCCTCCTCCTCCTCCCCCCCTAACGCTGTGCCTCCTCCTCCTCCTCCTCCCCCGACTTCTGCCGGCGGAGGCGGCCTCGGTTGAGTTCCACTGCCTTCCGCCGGCCTTCCGCCGGCCTTCCGCCAAGGAAGAGGAGTCGACTCCGCGTCGATCCTCGAAGGCGGGGTCCTTTGAGGA